CGTTAACGTACACCAATCAGACGTAGATTTGGTCTTTTCACATAGTCCCATATTTCTTGGAGGATTTGTTCATTTCTTTTTACTCTTTTTTCTCTAAACTTCTCTTCTTGCTTCATTTCATTCATTTGATCTTCAATCACTGATACCCTTTCTTCCAGTTGATCAAATTGTCTACTGAAGCTTGTGCATGTGTCACATAGTTCTCGTACCATGATTTTCAGCTCCACCAGGTCATTTAAGAACTTCTCTACACTGGTTATTCTAGTTAGCCATTCACCTAATCTTTTTTCAAGGTTTTTAGCTTCTTTGAGATGGGTTTGAACATCATCCCTTAGCTTGGAGAAGTTTGATCGTCTGAAGCCTTCTTCTCTCAACTCATCAAAGTCATTCTCCATCCAGCTTTGTTCCGTTGCTGGCGAGGAGCTGCTTTCCTTTGGAGGAGAAGAGGCACTCTGATTTTTAGAATTTCAGCTTTTCTGCTCTGGTTTCTCCCCATCTTGGTGGTTTTATCTACCTTTGGTCTTTGATGATGGTGACGTTCAGATGCAGTTTTGTTGGGGATATCCTTTCTGTTGGTTAGTTTTCCTCCTAACAGTCAGGATCCTCAGCTGCAGGTCTGTTGGAGTTTGCTGGAGGTCCACTCCAGACCCTGTTTGCCTGGGTATCAGCAGCGGAGGCTACAGATCAGCGAATATGGCAGATCAGCAAATGTTGCTCCCTGGTTTTTCCTCTGGAAGCTTCGTCTCAGAGGGGTACCCGGCCGTGTGAGGTGTCAGTCAGCCCCTACTGGGAGGTGCCTCCCAGTTAGGCTATTCGGGGGTCAGGGACCCACTTGAGGAGGCAGTCTGTCCATTCTCAGATCTCAAACTCCATGCTGGGAGAACCACTATTCTCTTCAAAGCTGTCAGACAGGGACATTTAAGTCTGCAGAAGTTTCTGCTGCCTTTTGTTCAGCTATGCCCTGCCCCAAGAGGTGGAGTTTACAGATGCAGGCAGGCCTTCTTGAGCTGTGGTGGGCCCCACCCAGTTCGAGCTTCCCAGCCAGCCACTTTGTTTACCTACTCAAGTCTCAGCAATGTTAGTTGCCCCTCCCCCAGCCTCACTGCCGCCTTGCAGTTCCATCTCATACTGCTGTGCTAGCCATGAGCGAGGCTCCGTGGGCATGGGACCCTCTGAGCCAGGCGCAGGATATAATCTCCTGGTGCGCCGTTTGCTAAGACTGTTGGAAAAGCACAGTATTAGGGTGGGAGTGACCTGATTTTCCAGGTGCCGTCTGTCACAGCTTCCCTTGGCTAGGAAAGGGAATTCCCTGTCCCCTTGCGCTTCCCGGGTGAGGCGATGTCTCACCCTGCTTCGGCTCTTGTTTGGTGAGCCGCACCCACTGTCCTGCACCCACTGACTGACAAGCCCTAGTGAGATGAACCTGGTACCTCAGTTGGAAATGCAGAAATCACCCGTCTGCTGTGTCTCTCATGCTGGGAGCTGTAGACTGAAGCTGTTCCTGTTCGGCCATCTTGGAACAAGTCTACATAATTTTTGACCGTTATTTGAATCATGGGTATCCTGTTATTTAGAGTTTCATTAAAGTTGTTTTCAGTTATCCCAGGCTACTTTCATAAATTCACTCTATTCATTGTTTAAAGCTTTTCAAAAGACATAATGCATAATTTGTTTCGGAAATGTATAATGTACAAATGATAGATCTCAGGAAACATTTCCAAATGGTAGTTACAGTTACAATTAATGGAGGCTGCTGGCCTCTCTGTAAGAGATTGTTCATACTGCTAGATGGGATGTGTGATAGAAAAGATCCTCAGTGATTGATATATATATGCTGAGCAAGAAACAGAGAGAAATTGAACAGATATGCTATTTGCACATTAAATCATATCTAAAAATAAAGATATGTAATTGAGACTTTTAGATTAAAAAATATGACTGAGATGGGCTCTTGGAAGTTAGGGGATAGTGAACCTCATGGGATATTTCTCTGAGAAGAAAAGTAGAGAGAGGCTCATGGCATTGTGGAATGGGCCACAAAAGGAAAAGGAAGGCAGGTACCTTCCAGGAAGTCAGCAGCCAAGTTACCGGTTAGGGGTCTCTCAAGGTTGCAAAGCAGATCTGGAACCAAACACCCAGGGGACTCCTGGTGGTAGCATAGAGATAACAGTTCCAGGAAGGAACTTCTGTTCTCTGCTGATGCTTGAGGTATTCCGGATAAGAGGATTAGTGCCTGAGAAAGGGTGAAGAATATATCTTTGTCAAACTTCAGCCAATGCAGGCTCTGAAAAACCTTGAGAAGACTGTGGTCTGAAATACAAAGCAGCGCATTCCTGAGAGCCCACATATGGAAGAGGTGATTTTGAGCACAGAGAATGTACGCTGGTAAATTATTTAACTTCCCTGGAGTCTCAATTCACTAGTATAAAAATGTAGATAAAGATATTAATACCTCAAAGGATTGTTATGACAATTAAATAGATTACTGTAAGAAAAGCACTTAGAACAGGGCTTGACACACAAGAAGCACTGCATTAAGTTGTAGTTATTATTATATGCTTTTTATATACTTGATATTTGATGTTTAAATTGTATTTTCTGTTAAATAGGGCTTGTTTCACATTCAGATATTCTTAGAAGTGGGAATACCTTCCCTGCTTTACTTGGGAGAAATTGATATAACTCATCAATATATTAATTAAAGGGATAAACAAAACAGTATGTAATTCAGTAATAAATTAAGGACAGCACAAAAGATGGCATGTTCAGGAGAATTATAGAAGAAAAGACTGGGGAGTACGGGAATGATTAGATTAGGTTTCATGGACGAGGTGCTAGCTGTCCAGAATATCAAGGGATGGGTGGGATTAAAAGTTAGATCAGAATCTTCCTGTATTCCAGAAATTTTATGATTCCATTGGAGCATTTCTAGTGAGGCTAGTAATGTGAGTTAAACAGACAAAGCAGGAATGAATGTACATGGAGAGAATGGCCTACCCAGAAAAGGATTCATGTGGAATAATGGAGGCAGAGGGCAGGTGGTTGGATAAACCTTAGCAAAGACAATCAGATTATAAGGTCCTAGGAATTGAGAGATAGGAGATGGCACACCAAGGAAAATTGTCCAACTGAGAAATGATGTGTCCTGGTTTACATAGTTTGATGCCTTTTAAGGCTCTGATGGAGAACAAGTTCTTTATCCCAAAGTTGAAGAAAGAAGTTTAATTAACAGAACATACCACATAACATTGGTAAGAGGGAAGATTGTCCTGGCAGAGGTACACAGGCAGGATCACACCGTCTGCCTCACCACCATGAGGTTCTAGCTTCAGATCTACTTCCCACATTAGTTCATGTCCTCTTGAATGGGAAGGGGAGATGAGTCACCATAGGAAAGATCACTGATATCCAAGTCATGCTCTTTACAGATCTCGGTGTGTCCCATGAAGTAGAGGGATAGGAAGAGATGGAATTCTGGCAGATGAATAAAGCCTATTTACATTTTTCTTTTGGCCAGGACCTGAAAGAACTTTTTTCATTCAAATACATACATGGCTTTGCCTGTTTCAGGGGGGACTAATAGTAAGCTACAGCACTTAATTTATTACTGATCTCAGTTTTTCTCACTTGAATGTCTATTGCCAGAATAAATAAACTATAAGGGCTCTTTCAGCTGTAATATTTTGTGATTCTGTCACATTGCCTCTTTTCTTTTTTTTTTTTCTTTGAGACGGAGTCTCACTCTGTCGCCCAGGCTGGAGTGCAGTGGCGCGCTGTATACTCACTGCAAGCTCCACCTCCCGGGTTCACGCCATTCTCCTGCCTCAGCCTCCCGAGTAGCTGGGACTACAGGCACCCGCCACCTCGCCCGGCTATTTTTTTTTATTTCTTAGTAGAGACGGGGTTTCACCGTGTTAGCCAGGATGGTCTCGATCTCCTGACCTCATGATCCGCCCGTCTAGGCCTCCCAAAGTGCTGGGATTACAGGCTTGAGCCACCGCACCCGGCCATATGGCCTCTTTTCAACAACAAGGGCAGTGTACGCATTCAAGTTCATGAAACAGAAATCCCTGACGCAAGAGTAATTCCCCAGGCATGTAAGACATCCCCATGAAGCCACCATTGGAATGGGAAACAATTTCTTGCTGTATATTCTGGAAGGATGAGAGAAAAAGTAAAACCTGGATGAGGTTTTATTATAATCATGATTTTCTTTAAAGCATACATTCCACTTGAAAGAATATAATCTCTGTTTGTAAATTTCTAGTGGAAAATATTAGAACAATTAAAAATTAGACGCAAGGCCACAATTAAGAGGTTACAGGAAAGAAAGAATGCAGCTTTTCTCTACTGTTTGTAGGAAAATAATAACTGCTAACATTTATTGAACACCTAAAATTTGCCAGGAATTATATATCCATTTAAAAATAAAAATTCAAAAGGATCTTATAAAACGTACTGCCCTTTTGACCAGATTTGGGGTCTAATTGATATTCATCATATTCTGCCCAGATTCTTACCTTGATATACATTAGTGTTTTGCTAGACTTGTTTAATAAAAAATAGATTAAAAGTAAAACAGAGTCACAGGTCTTTGACTAAATATCCCAATATGTGTATTGTCTTATAGATGAAAGTAGTGAGTACATATCTCATCATAAATCTCTTTTTCCAAATTGTTTTTCTGGACATATTTCAAGTAGAACAACCAATTTATTTATGTCAGAGGATCTTGCTCTTTTTAATGACCTCTTATTGAGCAATCTGTTAGATGAAGAGGCTGGTTAGCAAACAATGACATGCTGCAGAAACACTGACTAAGGCCTTGTGCTAGACATTCACATTGCTTCCTTTCTGCTCTTTGGAAAAGGGAACACAAGCTTGTTCTAGAAACAACAGCTTCGTACCAATGACTGGTCAACCTGAAATCATCTCCATTGTGGAACATGTGTCTGCTTACATTCATTCATCCATGCTCACACATTCATAGCTGATCTTACTTGGTAAAATGACTTGTTGCTTCCAGGTCTGTGTCTTGCGGACGAAGATTATTATACACATATTTCAGGTCTTGAATTCCACTTAGCTCAGGCAGTCCTGCATATAGCATCTTAACCACAACAAGAACAAACAAAGCAGAAAGAAGACAGAATAAATGCAGACACAGTCAAGCTTACTTGATTAATTCTACCCAGAGACATCTAGACCCAAGTTTGCATTGCAATGTCTTTCAGTTTATATACATGAATACACATAAGTTCATGCATTTTAACCTCTCCTATTATGTAGTAGAGACAACAGCAATAACAACTATAATAAAAGAATCACTATAATTGGAAAATTCTTGTAGATTAATAATTCAGTTTTATTCTCATCATCAACCAGTGAAGTAAACATGATACTATTATTCCCATGTCAGAATTTGTGTACCTATCATTTAAAATCTATGTGATTTTGAGGAAGTTCCTTAACCTCTTTGAGTCTTCATTTTCTCATTTTTAAAATAGATACAAAATGAGAAAGAGCTTTATACATTACAAAATATTACACAAAGATTATCTAATAATACTCATTTTAGAGAAGAAAAGCTTAATCTCCAGAAAACTGTAAGTGATATGTCCAGGTCAAATGATGTTCAAACATAGAGTATAAAACTCACCCCTCTGGTTCTTAATCCTATGTTGTTTTATGACTCCATGATTTTCACTAAAAGAATACAATTTTCCCTACTGAAGTGGTGACTATATTTACTAAGGCAATAAATAATTAAGGATAAATTGTATAAGGTATTTTCCTGCTAATTTTCAGGAAGATATTTTGTTTATATTATGGTGTAGACTGAAGGACTTATAATCTCTTTAGTTGTAGACAATGTTTTTTAGAAAATAATAGAACTTTCTAAACTAAATTTGAACTTTGCAAAAAAAAAAAAAAGACTGTTATTGGTACCTCTGTGACTAAGAAGATAAATTATTTACTGCTCTGGAACAAAGGCCCTCGTACAGTAAGAAGTTAAGAATAATACTATGGATCCTTAAAACAAAAGGTAAAGTAAGAATATGGTTTTGGAAAATGGGTGAAATAGTGATTAACTTGATGAAGTTCAAATGAGAAAAAGGATGGTATAAAAACTATTCTTTTTTCCACCACTCCCACCCAGGCTGAGGAAGCAGCATATATGGGAAAGTGAGATGTACAAAGGAAAGCAAGATGTCTTTAATGTGTCTGCAGAAGGAAATCCAGGCTGGCTTTCTGGAACTGAGTATTATGTGGGTGAACAGCAAGAGATAAGAATGAAAGGCAAGTAGAATAAGACATTCTGGCAACATTAAGGATTTTGTACTCTATCCTAAAGTACAAAAAAAACAAGAAAGCTCTTTAAGTGTTTTAACATGAGAGTAAGAGATTTAATTGTGTCTTGAAAGATCATTGTGGTTACGTATGGAAAATGGACTAAAATGAAGCCCAATAAGAGGCTAGATTAGGAGACTGGTTAGGAATGAAGATCAGCCATTGGATTTTAAATAAATGTAGAAAGTAGAATTGAGAAAACTGGGAGATTGATTGGACATATTGACAGGGCTGTGAGGGGCCCAAAACACACGCTGTAATACAGATTTGACCGTCATTAGCATATAAATGATAATTGAAACCAAGGAGATGGATGAGGGAGTCCTGGAGAGTTGTCAACTGTCTCTCCTCCTGGAAGATCTATTAGCATCTTAAACTCATGACATCTAAATTACAGCAAATTCTCTTCTCACATAAACTTTTCCTTCTTTTTTTCTGCTTCATTTACACTGCCACCACTGCCCAACTAACAAGAAATTCATATCTTCTTTGATTCTCTCTTTTTCCTGGTTCCTACAATCAATTACTTCATTCTATTAAAAACACTCCTCAGCAGTCTCTTGTATTCATTCCCCTTTTTCATTGTAATTATCATTGTCCTAATTCAGCCCCTCATCTTCATTTGCCTAGATATCTTGAATTACTTTTATCTTGTTCTCCAATCCTTATCTCTTTAATTCCATAAACTCTGTTATCTGCCTAAGATCCCAGGTACATAATGGTACTTCTTCATTATAAGCATACAAACTTCTAGTTTGTCAAGTGTCTAAAATCCTTATTCTGGTCACAAATGTCTTTAATCACACTATAACTTATCACTCCAGCCTCATCTTCTACAGAGATTTCCATCTGTAGCACAGACTGGGCAAACTTGGTTACCTTCATTTACTACACGTCATGCCCATGCTCATTAAACCTCCACATGTACATTTTTCTCTCAGCTGGAATTGCCTTTTCTCTCTTTCCTTGTCTACTGAAATTCTTTTTCAAGGCTCAGCTTCCTCTTTGAAGCATCACTGATCCTCGTGATGAGATTTAATGACTGCTTTCTTTGTACAATCATATTTTGGTTCTACTTCTTTCACAGTACTTATTGCTTCCTAGCTTTTACTGTGCTTTGTTCATATGTATGTTTGTCACGTTAGATCTTAAGTTCTTTGAGAACATGAACTGGATTTGTATTTAATGTTGAATTGCGTACGTTGCCCAGGATGGTGCTTTGAAAATAGCTAGATTTTAATAAATGTCTGGTGTAATGAATGCATGAATAAATGAATAAAAAATACATGATTCAGGCTACAGTAACCAAAACAGCATGGTACTGGTACAAAAATAGGCACATAGACCAATGGAACAAAACAGAGGCCAGAAATAAGGTTGCACAATTATGACCATCTGATCTTTGACTAAGCTGACAAAAACAAGCAGTGTGGAAAGGACTCCCGATTCAATAAATGCTGTTGGGATAACTGGCTAGCCATATGCACAAGATTGAAGCTGGACCCCTTCCTTACACCATATACAAAAATCAACTCAAGATGGATTAAAGACTTAAATGTAAAACCCAAAGCTGTAAAAATCTGGAAGACAACCTAGGCAATACCATCCTGGACATAGGAATGGGCAAAGATTTCATGATGAAGACACCAAAAACAATCGCAATGAGAGCAAAAATTGGCAGGTGGGATCTAATTAAACGTAAGAGCTTCTGCACAGCAAAAGAAACTATCAACAGAGTAAACAGGCAACCTATAGAATGAGAGAAAATATTTGCAAACTATGCATCTGACAAAGGTCTAATACCCAGCATCTATAAGAAACTTAAAACATATTTACAAGAGAAAAACAAAAAATCCCATTAAAAAGTGGGCAAAGGACATGAACAGGCACTTCTCAAAAGAAGGCATACATGTAGTCAACAAGCATATGAAAAAAAACTCAATACCACTGATCACTAGAGAAATGCAAATCAAAACCACAATAAGACAGCATCTCACACCAGTCAGAATGGCTGTTAGTAAAAAGTCAGAAAATAACAGATGCTTGCGAGGCTGTGGAGAAAAGGGAACACTTATACACTGTTGGCTGGAGTATAAATTATTTCAACCATTGTGAAAAGCAGTATGGTGATTCCTCAAAGAGCTAAAAGCAGAACTACCATTAGACACAGCAGTCTCATTGCTGGGTATATCATTCTACTGTAAAGACACATGCACACAAATGTTCACTGCAGCACTATTTACAATAGCAAAGACATGGAGTCAACCTAAATGTCCATCGGTGACAGACTGGATAAGGAAAATGGGGCACATATACACCATAGAATACTATGAAGCCTGACAAAAAATGAGATCATGTCTTTTGCTGGAACATGGATGGAGCTGGAGGCTATTATCCTTAGCAAACTAATGCAGGAACAGAAAACCATATACTGCATATTCTCACTTATAAGAGGGAGCTAAATGGTGAGAACTCATGAACACAAAGATGGAAACAACAGGCACTGGGTTCTACTTGAGGGTCAAGGGTAGGAGGACGGTGAGGAGCAGGAAAGATCACTACTGGGTACTGGGCTTAATACCTGGGTGATGAAATAATCTGCACATCAAATCCCTGTGACAGAAGTTTACCTGTATAATGAACCTTCACAGGTACCCTGAATCTAAAATAAAAGTTTAAAATAAGAGAGAAAAAAATGCTTGATGCTATTAGGCAATGAAAACATACAATTAGCAAATTTAATGCTGACTACTAAACTTAACAAAGTCAACCATAGGAAGACACATTCCCGATAGTCACTAGAATCTAGATTAGGTTTTATCTTACTTGTTCTGTACTAAGAGGTATAGAGACTTCTGTGTGCTCATTGAGGCAGATTTCTTCTTTATCACACTGTAACTATCCATTTTCTAAGGACAGGCTGCTTCTATAAGGTCTGAATTGCATTCCGGTTTCTCTGGATACCCTGAGTTCACACCTGCTTGGTTAGAACTCTATCAAACATTTCTCTGGAAAGTGGACCCTATACTTACTCGTTCCCTTGCCAACACCCACACACATAACCCACACATGTCACACACTAGCCGCCAAGTACAGACTGCTTCATACCAGATGAACCTATAATAGTTCTCTCCCCACCATGTATCTGACTAAAGGTAACATGTGCCAAGTTTGCCTTATTAATGTGTTCTGTTCCTTGGAGAGGAGACTTTGAGTGTTGACTCTGCATATCACAGAGTAAGGATGGCCTCTTAGCCGGGTGCACTTAGCTGTGTCTCTTCTCTGATCCCCAGCCACATGGTTCAGGTGCCTCCCACTCCAGACTGCATGGATAATAACTTTAATGGGGGCAATAGCAAAGGGAAAGCGAAGTTAGAACAGGAAGTGAACAGATACAGGTAATGAACAGATATCTCCCCTTTTAAAGGTCAGGAACATTTTTGAAGTCTTTACTTTTGTTCTCTTCCTACTAAGTCCAAATCTGTTTTAACAGTTATGCTCAGAAAAGCAGACACTCTTCCCCATCACATAGAGAAGTTAGAAAGATTTCTGATGGGAAATATCTGATATAATAATGGGTGTGATAAACATTTTAAACTGGGCAAATGGTCTCTGTGTTCTCTGGAAGCCTTCCATAATAGCTGATATTGATTTTTTAATGAGAGAAAAGCTGATGAAACACAGGCTTTTATTTTCGTGAACTCAGTCGGCAACACTCTTGGGTCTCCTACAGATGTTACTTTTAAGCAAGATGGGAATTTCATGGATTACTTTTTCCCCTGCTTTTCTCAGGAGTAAATAAAAAGCAATATGGATATCTGGAGACATGCTGCTCTTTACCAAGGATGAGCCATTAACTCTGTAGTGGACCCACGAAATGCTTGTGGCCCATAATCCTCGGGACTGATCATTCGCACAAGATAGAATTTATAACCCATGTCAAGTATTTCTCAAGTTGTAACTGGGTCATGGTAAGTAGACTGAATTCTTTTTAAAGAATTTAACATAAAAGAGTCAGGTTGAGACAGAATTAACAAATAGATTACATACATAAGTAGAAAATAGTCTTTCACAAATTTAAACTTGGTTTTATTTTATAAGAAACTATACCAAAGAAAGTGTGGTCCTGAAACCTTCACTAAATGCTTTGATGGTCTATAGAGTCTCAAAAGATACACAATTGAGAAGAAGAGAGTTGAGAGGTAAATGAACAGAAACTGAGGTAATAACACGGTGCTGTTTTACATGTATTTATTCATTAGTTTAATTGGTCCACATTGCTTCTGATCTCTATTTCAATTTCTGTGAAAGCCTAAATCTAAGATTATATGTTTACTCTGGATTAGTGCCTTCCACTGCCAAATTTTCTTCCTTAGCCTAAAGGAGCTGAATAATTAGAGCATAGACCTTTTTTTTTGGATATACTATATTCCAGAAATTTTCAACAACTGATTAATGATAAATTATTTCAATACTTATGAATAAAATACCATATGGCTACTTCTTTTAAATAAAATATCACTATATATTCTCTTTGGTGATTGTTTAATATATCATGACTCAATGCTGAATGCTTTGTTAAGGTACGTAGAAAAGTTTATTAAACAAGAGGAAAAAAGCCCACTGATAGCTTTCTGAATCTATTTTTTTTTTTCCAAAGAGCTGTTCTTTCACATTATTTTAACATGCTCAGTTTTCATCATTATAATTTTAGTGTCACCTGAGAAACAGCGTAACTTATATTTGTGCTTTTCTGTTTTGGGTTTATTTTTGAAATATCTGGAGCAGGTTAAAGCAGTTGTTAAAATTTGGTACTACTCCTCATATGTAGTTATTTATATCATTATAGGCATTTAGAAATGCTGGACACCTCGGTTATTATTATTATTATTTTTTTGAGATGGAGTGTTGCTCTGTTGCCCAGGCTGGAGTGCAGTGGCATGATCTGGACTCACTGCCAGCTCCACCTCCCGGGTTCACGCCATTCTCCTGCCTCAGCCTCCTGAGTAGCTGGGACTTCAGGTGCCGCCACCACACCCGGCTGATTTTTTGTATTTTTAGTAGAGATGGGGTTTCACCCTGTTAGCCAGGATGGTCTGGATCTCCTGACCTCGTGATCCACCCACCTTGGCCTCCCAAAGTGCTGGGACTACAGGCGTGAGTCCATAATCCCATGCCTGGCCACACCTCGGTTTTTTATGTAAATTAGTTTTATCTTCCTCATTAAATTGAAAATTTTAAGACTCTGGGTTTCATCATATGTTAATGTATCATTGCAGTTTCTAGCCTATGGTAAACAAGAGCTCATGAATTCATGAGCTTGATTCTACCTGGATATTTATTATTTAAATGGGGTCAGAATCACAGACTTAATCCTTGTAGGGTTTTTTGTTTGTTTGTTTGTGGTACAGTCACATTATAAACCATAGTCATTTCATACTTGCAAAATGGCCTAATAGAATTGGGAGCTAGAATGCAGATTTACCAATAAGAATCCTTGGCTATTACTGAAAAACCAACTTGTAGATTTTGGAGATGCGTAGAACTTTATATATCCACTTTACACAAGAAGAAACCAGTATATTTGCATATGAAGGACATGTTTATGATATTTTTAGAAATACTTATCTTTCAAGGCAAGGTAGAAAGAAGTAAGGTGAATATGTTGTTTGAAAGTTAAAACAAGAATCTAAATCAAATCTTCCTTGCAACAAAGTTAACATTTGTTCTGTACTAACCAATGAACTTTTCTGTGGTGATGGAAGTTTCCTATCTGTGCTGACCAATGGGCTACTACTAGCCAAACGTGGCTACTGAGTACTTGAAATGTGATCAGTGAAACTGAAGAATGGAGTTTTAAATTTTGTTTAATAAAAATTAATTTAAATATAAACAAACATGTGACTAGAGGATATTACATTGGACAGTGTTCTTATAAATTAACAAGGATCTAGTATAAGAACATAAATGAATTGAATGGCAACTACTGTGCTAAGTGCTTTTTGTTAATGATCTGTTAGGGTTATTATGAATTTTAAATCAATTAATACACACAAAGCAATTTAAAACAATTAATACACATACAGCACTTAGCACAGTGCCTAGGCCATGCAAAGAATTCACTGTTAGGTCATTTATTCATTAACTCTACAAGGTAGATGTTGTTATCTTCATTTAATAGATAAGGAAACAGTCTTTTGGGGGTTAAGTAACATATCGTGAAGAATGTAGCCAGTAAAATGCCAAACTAGGATTGAAACCCCGAAAGGTCTGCCTGCCACGTTTGTACCCTTAACAACATGTGGTAGAATTATTGTCATCTGGAAGTTTTAAATCAGTTATTTTTCATAGACTCCAAATCCCATGCCGATAGACCAAATGTATGTTTCCCATGTATAGTTTGCTGCAATCCCTAGTGTGTATGTACGTGCCTAGAGGAATCACTGTATCCCTCTCCTAGAAGATATTTCTATCAGATTTTTCTTCCTTCATGGTACATATCTGGTCTCCATCTCTTTAAACTGGACAGTGGAATAAAACCTTAAATTTTCCCCTGCTGGTCACAAGAGAGTGTGTGGGACCATGACTCAGTACACCTAATGCATACCACTAAAAGTTGAGTCGCTGGCAACTCACTTTCCAATTTTGACCCTCAGTTTCTTAATGTGGGAAATTGGCAAGTGATCAAAGGTGGAGTTTGGAATGGAGAACCAGGGACAATTCTTGCCTGCTCTACATTAGGTTGTCATGATATATAAGTGAGATAATATATATAAGGCATTTTTGAAAGATCCTAATGCCCAATATGACTGAAGGCATTATTTTTAAAATGACTGTCCTTGAACATTAGTCAAAATATAGTGGGATAACCCCTACATGCATCAATATTGATATGAATAGGAATGTTTGAGACAATAACTATGAAAGAATATATTAAATTGTTCAGGAATATGTTTATAAGCTGTACAATAGTACTCTTAGTTTGCTCATTCCTTTTTCTTCTGAATAGCTCCTTGGGGAACTCCAAGCCATTAGTAAAAATAGACTACTGAAGCAGAGGCATAAATGAAGCTTATTATTTTTGGTTTTTTTCCCCAAGGGACTTACCATTTCTAGCAGGTTCAAGAGCAGTTGGCTGTGCTTTCTAATAATATTATAAGCACGACAGCAAAGTTCCACAAAATCTTGGAAATGCTGTGGGTTTTTCCCACCCTCTGTAATAAAGTATTCCATCTCTGAAGTAAAAATGAAAGGAGCTCGGTCCCTATAAACCAAAAACAGTAGCAATCATTCAAAGGAAGAGAAATGGTTTGTCAGGTTAAATCAGCAGTTATAACGACTTATTTTCATTTGAATTTTCTTGTTTTTTTTCTCTACTGTAATAGATACATTTCCTTCATTGTGAGACAGCTTGAGAAACTGCATAATTGTAGGCTTCGAATAACTGGGCTGCAACAGAGAGAAAAGGATAAGATATTTTACAATTCAACTATATTGTCTGAAATGTTTAATTCTAAATTACATGTGGAGGGGAATATTATTCATTAAAAGTATCATAAAGGCCAATTCAGAGTGAAGGTGATATTTATGGAGTCTTTATAAAAAGTACATTTTCTGCTAAATTTTGATATGATCAAACAGATGTGTTTGACCTTATAGTATTAAAAAAATTGCCTTAAATGATGACCCTTTAGGAAAAAAGTTTCTGGTAAAAGCTAAGAAAAAAGCAGATGCTAACAATTCACTGGCATCTGCTTAGTGAAGGGGAAAAAAGGTAGCTATATTTTATTTCACACTAGACCCAGTAAAACTGCTGAACAGAAAGGAAGAATATGAATAGACCATGTTATTATGTAAGTAATACTGACTACTGTAGTCTAAGGATGGAAAAATAAGAAAACAAAAGACCTGAGAGAAGATGGTCCCATGTCCTCCATCTTTGTTAGTTTTTTTTTAATCATGTAATTTAAGATATGGATAGGCCTGAGATGAAGTATTAGCAATTCTAACAGAGAATAGCAGAGAGAGGCCTGGAAACATCCCTGTTTGAGGAATTATCACTCATTGAATAAGAACACAGAGTTTTGGTACCTTAGGCCAATTTAACACCAATTTGGTGAAGGGTTAGACCAAGTAGCAATTTAAAAAGTCATGGATTATTGAGGGAAACTCTTATTTTTTTAAACAATAAAACATAGTTGTTTTCTTTTTGTTGCTATGCTTAGCTATTTTAGCAAAAATACAATGGAGTGAAAAATTTCCCTAATCTGACAGTGAATGAAACCTTTCAGTAGTATGGATATTTATATCAGAAAGCTATAACTTCAGCAATTTGTGGCAGATTTGGGACAGTGGAGTCTAATTGCAGGCAAAATGTATAAAAGAAAACAAACACCCTAGTTTTTTGGCTATGATTATTTTATTCAGAAAATTTATTTTGTAATCATGCTACCATAATGCCTGCAGGAAAGGCTGGAATACCAGTACCTTCACTTCTGTTTATATTCATTCATTTCTTCAACAACATTTATTGAGCACATACATACACTGAGGCCTATGTCTAAAGTATCATGTCTAAATTTTAAAATTTTGATTCAAAATCCTTTTTTATTTGGCCTTCATTGACTTATCCAACCTATGTTCTATGAATTATTTAACAAGTTCTTGACTTTAGCCAAGCTGGAAGAAGAGATTTTGAAAACATGAGATAAGATATAGCATAGGTTCTAATTCTGGACCTGCTATGTCTCGATTCTTCATCTCTAAACCACCTAACTCTTAGAATTGCTGTGACGATTAACTTAGGAAATGTACATGTACATAAATGCCTGACACATAAGGAGGGTGGCACATTTGTGAATTGCTCACACTAGAGAGAGGCTCCTGCGGAGGCACAGACTGTGGGCCTGTTAGCCAGGTTTCAAATCATGGCTTCACCACTTACTATAGTAGTTCTATGATTCTGGGTGACTTATTCTCTCCATGCTGCAATCTCCTTCTTTATAAAATGGAGATGAGAGCACTTGACTCTTGATCTTGTTGAGAGAATCAAATGGGTCATACCACATGCAAGTGTTTAGAACATAGCCTAGCATGTAGTAAGCACTCACCAAATTTTAAATAGTATTGTCTGCAAACAGCCAAGTGTCCTTATAGCTGAACCTTGTTATCACTAAATTTCCTTGTCTCTTCAAAAATCTATCAGTAAAATCTCATCCTTATTCCAAGGTTTAATTTACTCTGTGTTACTCCATGTAACCTCTCTTGCTACATAAACCCATAAGTGGATCACTGAATTTGATAGCATTTTTTATATATCACTCACTCATTCATCACTATTGCTATCATTTTAGTAGAGTTTTAGTAATCTAATAGATTTTCATAATCAGAAAAAATTTTAATTTTATATGTAACAGTTTTCTAATAGTTTTTCCACTGTCTATACTGTGTTTACTATATTGAGTAGGACTTTGGAAATACTTTTAGAAGAGTATTAATTTTTACAACTTCCTGAAACTTTTTCTCCTAATATGATGAATATACTTTTCTCTTTTCCATAAGGAGAATTATGGTGGATCACATTAATTTCTCTTGGAAGGTTTCTGTAGTTATGCTCAAGTTCATGAGATAACACATTTCCTTTGTTCATGGTCACCATTATTAGAAATCAGATGCGGAAACACCATAACAGAAAGTTAAATACACAAGAGAAACATATACAAATTAAATAAAATATAAAGTGATATTAAAGAAACAAATTTCAGTTGTGTTTAAACATTATCATAGTCTAAATTTTCAGTGGATCCAACAAAATAAAATGCTATATCTTTTCTGAATGATTTTTAGGACTCACTTCTGAGCATTTTTTTTAAAATCTCAGAATTACGCTAAACTTGTGTATAAATGAAAAGAAACCTCACATGTGCAAAAAAATCCCATCTATTCCTATAAGATGTAGAAACTTCAGTTGGAATGTAATTTATCAGTGCACTGAAATGTAAACCTATTCCTACATTATAGAATTAATGTGTTGGAGTTTATCTCTGAAATTTAAGCATTACTTATAAATCTGAGGTATAAATTGGTTGTGACAAAAGGGAATATTCTAAACTATTTGATCTCTCATGGTCTGTACTGTGATTACATTTTGAATTATATATTGAAAATCTCTTATTTATAGCTATATAAATAAATTACAGATATTTCTTGTTGTGACTATCCTATCTTTTGTTTTTTTTCTAGATTAATGGTTTTACCTTTGCTTACCAAAGTCCCACCTGTTCTTGCTTTTTTATCTTTTACTCATATTGTAACTACAGGTTTCTTTCTTCCTTTTTTTTTTTTCTCTCTTTCTCACCTGATGTTCTAAAACTGATTTAGAGGTCAGGACCAAAAATCTTGTCTTACAAGTCTCCAATTAACCCAACCCTTGTCAGAATCAGAAGTCTCTCTCTCTCTTTTTTTTTTAATCCAAATGACCCGTATGATTTTCAAGAGCAGAGGAAGTAGTCCACCTTCCTTTAATATAGTCTTAACATCGGAAACAATATTTTGACGTTATTCTCTTATATGCAATGAATGCAACAATAAATAAACATAGTTCATATAGTGAAGAGCTTGTGATACTTTGACATTTATTTGGGAAGGTCATAAGTACAAACATATTTGTAATGATTCTGTCATTTTTGTTGTCAAAGTTAATATTTTCATTAACTTATGACCATTTTTCCCGGAAGTTATTATTATTTTTTAAATGCAGAGACTGAATATTTTACAGATTTCCAATAGGGGTGAGAAGTGAGTTGGTGGTTTAAAAATGTATATATACTTAGAAATGTAAGAACATTTATATTACAGATAGTAATTATTAAGTAGACAAATAAATTCACTTAATATAAGAAATAGCAAGAGGCTGGGCATGGTGGCTCACACCTGTAATCCCAGCATTTTGGGAGGCTGAGGGGGGTAGATTACCTGAGGCCAGGAGCTTGAGGCCAGTCTGAGCAACATGGTGAAACCCTATCTCTACAAAAAATACAAAAGTTATCCGGGCACAGTGGCGCACACCTGTAATCCCAGCTACTCGAGAGGCTGAGGCACAAGAATTGCTTGAACCTGGGAGGCGGAGGTTGCAGTGAGCTGAGATTGTGCCACTGAACTCCAGTCTGGGAGACAAAGCAAGGCTCTGTCTCCAAAAAAAAAAAAAAAAAAAAAAAAAAAAAAAGAAAAAAAAAGAAATATCAGGACAATTAATAGTTTGCTGTTTATTACTTTCACGTGTTTTCCTTCCAGCCATATTGTATATAAAATCTCCTTGTAGAGTCATTAGAATACCAAGATCATCATTATTAAGCATTTGCAGATCACCACTGAACTGAAAAACAGAGTTTTAGGGTATGTTTCTGTATATTAGGTGAACTGAGTCTAATCAGGGAGATATACACTATAGTTATTTATCAACAAATACTGAGCTTCTATAATAGATTTGTGCAAGGCTTGTAAGTGAGGTGAAAGATTTTTAAAAATCAATGTTCTAAAAGCAATATCAATTTATTAAATAAGAACAATAATGTTTTGAAAAGATTACTCCACTAATAATACAGAGAAGGGTTTGGAACAGGGAGGGTGTATAAAAGCAGATCAGACAAGAGACTTTTGCAAAAAATTTTGACCAGATATGATAATAGCTTAGATTAGAGTTGCGGCATACAGATAACAGAGAAAGGGGAAGACTTAAAGCATATTTCAGAGAAAAAAAATCAATTGGGTTTCATGATAATTAGAATGGGAGGGAGAAGAGGTGCCAAGAAGAACTTTAACTTTTTCCCTTGTGTAGCAGGAAGACTGCAGTGCAACATTCAGAGGTGGCTCAGCCTTGAGCTTAAGTTATATTTGAGGTGACTCTGGGACATACAAATGCAGATTAAAATGAGGATACTCATTTCTGGGCCATGGAGAAAAGATTTAGGTTGGAGGTAAAATTTTGTGAGTGAAACTTCTGATTCTGGGAAGATGAAGTAGGCTTATTTTTCCTTGTTCCTCCCACTGAGTATATTAAGAACTCTGGAAATTATATACAAAGCAAACATAAGGTGATTCTGAAAAGCATAAAGAAGACAGACTACCTAGGGATGTCAGGACTCAAGTAACAACATGGAGGTGAGTTTTCTGGGTTTTCTTTTTTACCTCATATATTCTAGGTATGAAATATATGCTGCTAAAGTAGGCAATCTAAAAAACCCCAAAGAAAAGCCTGCTTTAAAG